GAAAAATAATGTGTTTTTTGAACATTAAAGCATGTCAACATATTCTGTTACACCAAATACACAAAATAATGATCTTTAAAAAAGCATCATATAACCCCTTTAAAGCAAAACATATCCCTGTGTGAGTTTTTGTTTTTCATATTTATAAAATGCAGTGAAGTAATATCGCACAAGCAAGAGTGCCATTTTCCTGTGAGCGTGATCACAAATGTGATATAAATTTTATACAACAGTTCAAGAAATATGAAGTTAATACAGAGTAAGCTATATTTTTGACACAATTTTGTCTGTTTTACCATCGAAAATAGTTCCGAAGAAAGAGACGCATTTGTGTGTCTCAGAGCATTGCAGTGTTTCATTCATGAATGAATCTGTCTTTGAATGAATCGAGGGAGTCAATGATTCTATGATCCATTCATAAAGACTGTCACTGGCTTTCTTTCTAAATGAATCAGCCATTTGAATGAATCATTCAAATAAATTATTCAATGAATGACTTATTAAGATACAGACTTGCACAACCTATTTGCATTTTTTAGGGCCTGTTCACATGTCGCATCTAAAAATGTGTGGGAAATGCCTGTTTGTTAAAAATTAATATATAACCTAGTTATTATAATAAATGTAATTCTACTCACTAGTATCAGTCAGATTGAATCTCCTGTATCTGGTCCGGTCTCTGTTGATGATCTGAAGTTGAAAAAGTCCAAAGTCTGTATCTGTGGTGTTTGTGATGGTCAGAGATCCAGTCTGATGATTCAGCTCCAGTCTGCCTCTGAATCTATCACTAATACTCGTCGTTCCTGATTCGGCTTTAATAACAAGACAGTTTTTAGCTCCAAACGTCCACAGTATCAGATCACTTCTCAGTGTTTCAAGACCAGGGTCTAGAGTGACAGATTCTCCAACCTTCGCTGGCACCTCCTTCACTTCATGTCAAAGCAACACAAAGAAACAGAAATACAGAAAAAAACGTGCATTAATTTAATTTGCATTTTCAACAAATTTATTTAGATGGCATTTTAACCTAGTTTGTTATGTCTGTAGTTTCAGCTCATCTATCTAGGAAGATATTACCTAAATTCACAAATCATAGAATATGCTGTAGTATTTGACTTCCTATGATTGCCTATGAATTACCTATGACTACCTATGATTCATCATCACGTTTCTTGTAATATGATTTTGACAAAAAAATGTCTAATTTATTTGTACAATATTACTCCTTTAATACCCATTAACACCAATAACAATAACTATAAAGATAATTACAATAATAACTATATTAGCATCCACACCAACACACAAGATTGTCATTTCAAGCTTTAAATGCTCAAGCTGGATTAAAGCAAGATGGATTCTGATTGGCTGTCAATATTTTTATCACTCATCAGGCAGAAAAATAATTTCGAAAATTAATCCAGTTATATTGTTCTGTGTCATTATCATTATAGGTGTGGTGTGGACCCTATGTGGACTCTGTCTATATATATATATAATAAAATATTTTTTTTTTTGTTATTGTCCATGGTGTTAGCAAACCTTTAGTTTCATAATTTTAGTATATCTGTATAGCACTTCTCACAATACACACTGTTTTGAAGCAGCTTCACTTATATTCATAATGTTAGTGTTTGAAATTTATATTAATGCCTCCGTTCAGAGCGGGGCGATAAAATACTTCACATTTGGTGATGATATAGTTTTTTTTTACTTATACCATGATGAATTTGTTCTGGTAATTTTAATATGACACTAATTAAAATTAAAAACATTAAAATCTAAAAGTAACTAAAATTATGTTGTACTTTGGGAATTTGGGCTAAGTTCAGATGATCTCAGCTGTTCACACAGTGCATGATTATTGATCAACTCACCAGTGACAGTAACAATGAATATCATGTATTCGGTTTTTCCGTTTTTGCGGCTGATCTGTAGTTTGTAGAGTCCAGAGTGAATGGTCCTGATGTTATTGATGATGAGATCTCCAGTCTTCACATTCAGCACCAGTTTGTTTCTGAATATCCCATCAGCAACATCACATTCTGTATCATTTGTTTCCCTGGTCTTTTTTGTGAATTCAATGAGGATGAGATCCTCAAACCACCACTTTATCTCATCACCTTTCCGTAGTTCAGTGCCAGTCTCTAGAAGAGTGACAGAATCTCCCTCCATCACTGATACTGACTTCACTCCACCCGTCTCACCAACCACACCTGGAAAACAAATCGGACAAGAACTGATTTGTACAGATTTTTTGTTTTACTGTCCTCCAGAAACCCATGTGGAGTCACACATATGTGAACCAACAAGAACATTCATGTAAGATGCTTACAGCAGGAAATCATGAAACCTGAAACAAGATCATTATAACATTCAATGAAAGATATACTCTTGAGATACTTACCAAAGACATCCACACTAAATATCCTGGATGTGATCTTTTCTCTGGAGATGGTTAGTTTATATTGTCCTGAGTGTCTCTTTCTGGTGTTTCTGATGGTGAGAGAGCCAGTGATTTGATCCACCTGCAATCTGCCTCTGAATCTCACATCATCGGTGACCAAAAATGAGGTCAAGACGCTCTTTCTCGTTATTTGAGAAATGACAAATTCTTTAGGCCCAAACAACCATAGTAAAGTATCATCGTTCAGTATTTCAGTAAGATTGGTGTTTAGAGTGACAGAATCTCCTTCCATCACTGACACCGTCTTATCTGTTTCTGCATTAAACACACCTGCAAAACATAAATTAACCATAATAGATATAGACTGCTTAATTTGACACCACAGCAGTAACCTCAGTAAACAGATTCAATTGGAAAACTTATTGAAATAACCAGTTTTACATTGTTGTTTTACATGTAAAACAATAACCTGCAAGTTGTTATGTATATATATATATATATATATATATATATATATGAATTTGTCTGGTTAACTGTTCTAATAGATCAATACAATTATGTCTGTTATGTTTGATTTTTGTTACATTTTACCTTTAGTTTTAACAAATTATGCATTAACATGCATGGCTGCAAAAATTAAGAACAGAGAAAAAATACAAAAACAGGCTAGGTCTGGCTGGAAGGTCAGGCTGTTTTACCAGCTGGCCTGTAAACCTGTGACTCTTGACCCCATACATGCAACATATTGCACTATTCTGTCTGATGCTTTTCATCCATGCAAGATGAGGCACAATGTTTTATTCTGTTTCCCTATTTTTTCTCCTAATATATTTTCATAAAGATGGAAATTATATGCTCATACCTATGATGGATTAATTGACCATTTTTTTAAATTCAACTAGAAAATATATTAGTTTACAGTGTTTTTCCAGACAGCGATGGTTTCCATGGCTGTGACGTGGTGAATAGTGAGGGCTGTGCTGAAGGTGACTCTGGGATGGCAGTGGCAGAGAGCTCAGGAGTGGATGCCACAGACTTCTGGGGAGAGTTCATTGGGGAAAGTGTGTGCTGCCCAGAAACACATGGAGGTAAGCAGTAGCCATAACCAGAAGCACTGATGACTGGAGAAGAACCTCTAGGACCTCCAGACTAGGGATCACAGGTATGGTTTATGGAAGACAAGCTCAAGGAACTTTGCTGCAGTACCATGGGTGCAGCAGGCACAATGATATTATGCAGCGCCTGAAAATAGCAAGTAGGCTAACTTCCGCCAGCATAACCAACGTGACCACCTGCTTGCACAGAGAGAGTGCTGGGGACTATTTTCAGGCTCTGCGTAATATCATTGTGCCTGCTGCACCCATGGTACGGCAGCAAAGTTCCTTGATTATTACGCCAGAATGAGAGTATAGTTCCTAGCCATATCGGCCTAGAAAATCACAACTTTTCATTTTCCGTCGGTCTTAGTACACGATGTAACTACAGAAGAGTCAAGTTTTAAATAGGAAAAATATAGAAACTCTTTGGTCATTTTTGAGCGAGATGCTAATGGTCTAATCAGATTCAATGATCTATGCTAAGCTAAGCTAAAAGTGCTACCACCAGACCCGGAGATCAGCTGAATGGATTCGAAAACAGTAAAACTCAACTGTTTAACTCTAGGGGAGTTGGAAAATGAGCCTATTTTCAAAAATAGTGGAGTGTTCCTTTAATAACTACTATTCATTTTGTATTTAATAATTTATATAAGTGATATATAATTGTAAATAAGGGCTGGAATTGAAAAATGCCTTATACTCAGGTATAAATAATTCTTAAGCAGGTTTTTCTTTTACAGGTAAAATGTGCCAAAAAAAAAAAAAAAAGAGTTAACACACTAAAAAGTTACAAATTATTAAATGCCTATGCATGATAAATATTCAAAACTACTGCAAAACAGAAATTGTAAAATTAAATCTTGACTACTGGACAGTGAAATGCTCATTGTGTCAGCAGGGTCAGAAAAAACAGGTGGAGAAGAAAAGATGCATGTTAACAGCAAAAGACTTTAAGAACTAAGGTGAAGAATTAGGTGTGAAACAACCAGGAACACTTTAGCCTCCAGCTCCACCTTTTTCCAGAACTGCAACCTACTCTGGAATCTCCAGAAGTACAAGGTGTCAGGTTCTCAGGGACTTTGATTAAAAAAAAAAAAATCCTAAAATATGACCCTAAGCTCTGCAGGAAAGTGGCCCTCTATGAGCAGAATTAGACACCCGTGCTTTAAAGTTTAGGTGTCTGATAATTGAGAACAGAAATTGAGAATAAATGACTCTGAGAATTGAGAACTGTTCGTCTTGATTGCATTTATTTCACTGCAGCCGCCTCTCATCTACAACCAAGGTGAAATATTTGGAATCCCAAACAAGTTCAGACTTGGCCAGCTGACCCAGTGCGTTGTGATTGACCAAACATCTCAAGCATGTGTCGGAAATAACAACCCTTGCCATAATCGCAAGCTTCAGCTTCCAAAGCAATTACTATAAAGACTTTGAGCGTTGTATCTCTGCAGATCTTATACATGCACAAACAGCTACATAATGCACTAAAGAACAAGGAAAACATGAAAATGCATCAAACCCTTTAATCTTACAGAATAAATGTAAGGTTTGTGCATCGGCAGTGGTGACCGGTCGCAACTATGAAGGCTTAGTCACCTTAAAGAGCTTTTATGCAAGATATATCTGTATTGTTTTATACTTTATGTACAATATTAAATAAACATGCATTATTATATTCTTTAAATGTTTTCTTTGGCTTTATTCTTCATCTCTCGAAAAATAATGTTGAGTAACACAGCATCATTCAGCTCTGTTAATCATGAAAAATAAATCTGGGTGCTCTTTCGCATTGTCAATTTTGCTGCATGAATAAAATTTGTATAAAATTGTTTTTAGAATATGGTGTCTTAATGTAGATTTCACATAAGCAGCAAACAAGATTATTATAATCACTGAGACTGAGGAGAACCAATCTTTGTGCAAAATTGTACTGGCAATAACATCCACTTTTCATTATGTAAATAAAATAACTCCATATTGCAATTCTACATGTATATTTACTAGACACTTTAATGCAGAAAAAAACAAAATTTTAGCGACACTACCCGCTCAAAAGAAAAACTATTAGACGGAAAGTAATCTTTTAAGGTGGCATACCTCAAATACATCATGGATGTGGGTGTTTTCCATTTAAAACACCGTTTTGAGAAGCTGCTGCCACTGGAAATAAAACTGTGTGAAAGTGTGTGAAATGAGAAGATACACAGTCACAAAAATTAATGTGTGAACATTAGTCAGTTCTTCAGTTTATATTCCACACCGCTCTTGGTTTGTATTTACCCCTAATTAAGATTTAATTTTAGCACTTTGTTGCATTCATGGCTTTCAAAGTAGATTTTTTTTTCCCCCAAGATAGAACTTTAAATTAAACGTTAATGCTTATGGTGGAATATTTGACCATTGTTTTGAGTTCAGCATGTTAATAATTTGGATTTTACTGTTTTTTTTTGTTGTTTTTTTAATGGAACATATTCAGTCAGATTGTGGTTTAATGTACTGCATAAACTCTCAAAGATAGATTACTGCTATATCTGTTCAGATTCCGTTTCCTCTGAAGATTTTGTCACAGAGCATACAGCGTGAAGCAACAGATTTCACACAACTTAATGAGATTAAAAATATAAAAAATATATATCCACGTTTGTTTAACAACTAAATCAGTGTTTGAGCACTACAGTACACTCTAAAAAATGCTGGGTTAAATACAACCCAGTGCTGGGTAAAATAGGGACAAACCCAGCAATTGGGTTGTTTTGACCCAGCGGTTGGGTTACTACCCAGAAGGTTGGGTTAAACATTTAATGTGTATCAAATACACTTAGCTCAGTATATTTATATGAACATTTATTCAAATGGTTAACAAATGAGAATAATACAAATAGCAGTGAATAATAATAATCCAAGGCACAACACAATGTGGTATCATACCACATTTCTTTAAATACAGAGTTGAGTAAGTGTGCAAAAAATATTTTTCCATCCTTTTTACTAGTGCAGTAAGGCGAATTCATCAGGCAAGTACTTTAGCATGACTACAAAGGTGCTTTATATCACATTTACAATTTGTCATTTACATTTGATTAGCAGACCAAGAACATCATCCTGGATATCATCAGATACAGGGCGAACTATTCTTTTGATTATTATAAAACAGCACATGCATAGTTTGAGGAATACTGCTGTGGTTCACATATTTTAATGTCAGATCAACTGAATTATTCACAGAGAGCTGATAAACAATCGTTACTTTAAAACACTTGAGTTACTCACCACTGACAGTAACAGTGAATCTCTTGTATGAAGTCTGTTTGTTGCTGCTGATCTTCGCTGTATAAAGTCCAGAGTCTGTGGTTCTGGTGTTTGTGATGATCAGAGATCCAGTCTGATCATTCAGTTTCAATCTGTCTCTGAATCTCTCATCAGTTTCATCATATAATGGTGAGCTCTTGGCCTCTATATCAGCTTTAGCTATGAGTTTTCCTTCATCTCCAAACCTCCACACTATCAGCTCATCTCCTTGTAGTTGAGGAACATCAGTCTGAAGAATGACAGGATCTCCCTCCTTCAATGACATGAGCTTAATTTCAGCTACACCAGCATCAATAACAGACGGAGACTCTGCGAAAATCATATTCATAAATCACAAGGCATATGCAGATTAATAGAAGTTGTCATACTACAATTCCATAAGACTGCTGAACACGTTACAAGTAATGTTTGCTGGCTGTTCTTTAAATATCAGTTTAATTTAGTTTAATTCATAAAACAAAAAGAAACATCTCATTATTTTCAAAAATTCAAAGACATTTAAAGATAAATATAGCTCACCATAGACAGTGACAGTGAATTTCCTATGTGTGGTCCCAGTGTTGTGGTCGATCTGTAGTTTATAGAGTCCAGAGTGTTTGGTTCTCATGTTCTCGATGGTCAGAGATCCAGTCTGATTATCCAGCTGCACTCTGTCTCTGAATATCTCAGTGTGACTGGGATATGTGGTCTTATCATCATTAGTTAAAGCAATGACTGTATCTCCAAACCTCCACTGTATCAGAATAAATCCCTGTATTTGAGTAAAATCAGTGTTTAGAGTCACAGAATCTCCCTCCATCACTGACACTGACTTCACACCTGCAGAACAAACAGAAACAGTTTCTCAGACATTAAACTCAAATAACACTGCTAGTAATGTTAATAAACAGATTAGATCAGCTGAGGTTATTCTAGAGATGTGATATTTTACCTTAATTAATGTGTATGTACATTACATTTCCATTGAATTATCTAGCAGACGCTTTTATCCAAAGCGACTTACAAATGAGGACAATAGAAGCAATCAAAACAGCAAAAATATATAAGTGTTGTGACAATTTAGCAGATGCTTTTCTTCAAAGCTACTTAAAGTGATAAATGTGTGTAGGGTTGAGTGAATACGGGTGCAACTCTTTACTATCCCAGTACACCAGAAATCACTTTAAAAAAGAATACACGTGAATTAATCATCTAATCCATTTGCTTCACAGGCCTCATGTGCAACTAATGGAGTCAGATTAACAGTTCAGTTTTGCACATCGTCCTTCAACTGCTCTTTGTTCTGATTACTGGTTCAAAAATAGAAGCCTACTTTCCAGCCTTGTGCAACAGAATCAGTTTAATTTACAGAAGCATTAACACAACACGTTATAGAGCGGTTTCAAAAAGTAAATTAGTGCGTTCCAAATCGTAGTATGTTGAAATAAGTATTCCAAAGGTACCCAGATGGATTACTATTTCCGGTGGAAATTTGAAGTGCAGATCCGTATATACTAGTGATGCGCGGATGAGCTAAAACGTCACCCGAACATTTTTTTATTACCCGACCCACCCGATCCGCGGATTATCCGCAGCGCCCGCGGATATAACCGCCATCCGCGCATCACTAGTATATACTCTAACGGCAAATATTGCCCACAACCTAGAGTTCTCGGCAAGACAGACCTGCGTCTGGGCTGATCAACGTGCCTCTTCATTACTCTCCAATATAGTAGGAAATGAAATTAAACGAAAAGTAGATGATGTTAACTGTGACGAGATGATTGGACATTGGACAAACCTTTTCTAGATTCCGAGACTCTCCCACTGATCTATATTTATATTAATATAGATCAGTGAACTCGCCATTATGATGTAATCTAGCAACATTTAGAGACCAGTTTTAGCTATTTCCGGTTGAAAGGAGTTGGCAACACAAGTCAGTGTTTTTTCCTCATATTTTTGATGGTTTAAGTGAAATGTAGGCCCAAAAAAAAAAAAAAAAAAAACTGTCCGCACATCACTTTTGGAATTGACTATCTTGACGGAAGCAGCTCCGGGCGGATGACGTATGGGGTTAGCGTTGCGCATGCGCCGGTGAGTCTCGTGAAAACCAACGTTTGTTTACAGGATCAAAGGAAGCAAAGTTTCCTTACTTTAGCAAAGGAAAACCAGTCTCCTCTTGGCTTATATCGGAATCCTCCAACATTCTTCTTTACAAATCCTCATTTTGTACTTCTAATTAGTGACTGTTGTTTTGTTTTGATCTCTCCGCTTCGCTTCCGCGTGCATCATGTCTGAATAGCGCATGCGCAACGCCGACCTCATACGTCATCCGCCCAGAACTGCTTCCTTGTACAACTGTTGGCTCAAGCTAGATTAAAGTCATTATTACGTTTTGAATATGGATATTTTTCTTACAAAAACGCATCGATTCGCTACAGGGGGCCTTTGTTCACCTCCCGGAGCCGTGTGAGGCACTTTTTATTATGGATGGATGTGCTTTATTTCACTTCTTTTGGACTGATGCACTGCAACACCCACTGACTGCCATTAAACAGCTTGGAAGATCAAAGAAATTTTTTTTATATAACTCAGATTGGATTCGTCTGAAAGAAGAAAGTCATATACACCTAGGATGCCTCGATGGTGAGTAATTCATGGGCTAATTTTCATTTTTGCGTGAACTAACCCTTTAAGTCCAGGAATCAGAATAATTCTTAGAATTGACACACTTAAAATTTTACTCTGAGTGGCTTTATATATAAGGCCCTGGTAAGAAGGTATTTATATTAATGACTGTGATACTCACATATGAACATTAAAAACAGTGAAGATTAAAGTTAAAATATTTTAAAAAACTTATAGGAAGCTTCAGTCACTATTCATCACATATCTATTTACAGGTATCAGAAATGTATGATAGATAACAGGCTGTTTTATCTAATAAAAGGTCTGGGGAAAACATTTTGCACTCTGAAGGTTACAGTATGACGTCTGTACACTGTAAGTTTAATTGCACATAATATGAGCCCTTTTGTATCACATTGGCTGAATTATTCACTGACAGCTAATAAGCAATCATTGTCAAAAGTCTTGAGTTACTCACCACTGACAGTAACAATGAATCTCTTGTATAAAGTCTGTTTGTTGCTGCTGATCTTCGCTGTATAAAGTCCAGAGTCTGTGGTTCTGGTGTTTGTGATGGTCAGAGATCCAGTCTGATCATTCAGCTGCAGTCTGTCTCTGAATCTCTCATCAGTATCATATAATGGTGAGCTCTTGGCCTCTATATCATGTTTAGCTATGAGTTTTTCTTAATCTCCAAACCTCCACACTATCAGCTCATCTCCTTGTAGTTGAGGAACAAGAAGAGTGACAGGATCTCCCTCCTTCACTGACACGCTCTTCATTTCAGCTTCAGCCCCAGCAATAACAGATGGAGACTCTACAAGAATCAGATTCACAGACAGAAAACAAATATACACACTAAGAACACTGTTACTGGCACTAGAATACCAAGTTTTACAGTTGATTGTTTCATTATATGGTTACTACATATGACATATGCAGATTAATAAAAGTAATCAGTTTGACATGGATGACAGTTACATTCAGCTGACTAATATGACTGGCCATGAGGCATCTTATTTCATTTAACAGCACAAAAACATCACTTGTATGTATCACTGTGCCTGAATGTGTTCAATTTCAATTCCTAATTCTATACAAGGATTGATCCTCCTTTGACTTGTTTTGGAGTATTAACTGCTGGAATGAATCTAAATACATCTAGTCATATTGTGTGTGAAATGTAAGTCAATCTATGTGATTTTTTTTCTAGAACTGCAGTATAAAATTAAAATCACATTTACCATCATGCGGTTGTTCTGAGTATCAGTCATGTGATCACCTGTGGCCCAATCACAGCCGTGATGATATTCAGAAAAACAGCACTGTGATATTGGGAAACTAAAATTCTGTAAGACACACTGGTTATAATGTTTCCTGGCTGCACTTTAAAACTTTAATTTGTAAAACAAAGACACATTTAAAAAACAATTTATTCTGAAAAATAAAACAAACGTATTCTCACCATGGACAGAAACATTGAATTTCCTAAGTGAGGGCCCAGTGTTGTGGTCGATCTGTAGTTTATAAAGTCCAGAGTGTTTGGTTCTCATGTTCTTGATGGTCAGAGATCCAGTCTCTGAATGCAGTCTGTCTCTGAATATCTCAGTGTGACTGGAATATGAGATCTCTTTACCATCGATTTGAGCAATGACTGGATCTCCAAACCTCCACACTATCTGAATAAATCCCTGCATTTGAGTAGGATCAGGGTTCAGAGTGACAGAATCTCCCTCCATCACTGACATTGACTTCACTTCATCTTCATCAGCACCAAACACACCTGCAGAACAAACAGAAACAGTTTCTCAGAGATTAAACTCATAGAACTCTGCTGGGAATGTTGATGAACAGATTTATCTTAGTCTTGTCTTATAAACAATTTAAATTATTCAGCTGTTTACAAAAGTCTTCCAGAAAAAAATTTATAAGAGAAAATCTCATGTTAGTTCATCTACAGATGTGATATTTTTACATTTATTCATTTAGCAGGTGCTTTTATACAAAGCTACTTAAAAATGAGAAATATGTGTGGGGCTGAGTAAATACGGGTGCAACTCTTTACTGCTCCAGAGTAACAGAAATCTGTTTAAAAGTACACATGTGAATTAATCATTTGAACAGGACTCGCGTGCTTTCCACTACATACTAAACGTGTACATGTGAATACGTTATGTTTTAGCCTGATCTGACAGCTTATAAACTATAGAAATGTGATGAACTTTAAAGCCACTCCCCCATATCTCTCGCTCAAAATTAAAGCAGTGTACAGTCAAAGAAGTTTAGAGACCAAATTGCATTTTTACATTTTTCATAATCTGCCTGTAAAGGCTTGTATCTTAGGGGATATGTCGCCATTTTAGTGGTATATAAACCAAGATATTGTTTACATATAGGCTCTGGTCTATGGACTTTAGATTTTGTAGCTTATTTCAGAAAATCAGTTCAATACTTAAAAATCTTAAATGATTACTTATTGTCAATCATTTAATCATTAATCTGTGTATGTATGAAATAAGATTTGCAAACTTATGTATAAAAATGTACGAAATATATTTACAAAATACAGTTTGCAAATGTGTTTTGTTTAGTATTGTATTTCATACATCTCTTTTTTATGGCTCATATGCAATTTATTGCAATTCATTGATTATTGGGGGGGGACCTGTTGTGTCATATTCAACATTTACTTTTTCAGTAAGTAG